CCCTGTTTTGTTCATGTGAGCAAAATGATAAGCAAAATCAGACTTCTGATTCCTGCTGAGCAGATGACAACCAAGGAAGAGAAAGAAATGACCTCTACCTTTGGTCACAAAGCAGACTATTGGACTCTTAATCAGCTGATTGAGAAAGCTAGTAAAGACGGCACCTTTTAACTTGCAGAAACCATTGCTCACACCAAGGCTGTCAGTGTCCAGTTCATGGCAGACGTAGGGGTTTTCTTTGTGCTCAGTTTGATAGCAGGGGTCGATCAGCTTTTTCTGTGAGGAGCCAAAGAGTAAATATTTGAAGCTTTCTAGGGAATCTTTGTCATAGCTATTCATACATACCCTTGCAGCACAAAAGCAACCATAGCTATTGTGCCAGTGACTAAGTATGCCTCTATTTCAGTAAAACTGTTTACCAAAACAAACAGACCAGATTTGGCCCATGGGCTACAGTTGACTGATCCCTAGTCTGATATAATCAACACATGGGCACAGCTCAATAAGAAGGGGAATTATAACCTTTGCCCAGGACTTTTAAAAGAGCTTATTTCTCATCAAAGAGATTGAGAGATGACTTAAAAATCAGTTTAGAAACTTTCGGAAGATGAGAGAAAAAGAGGAAGAGAAGAAAGAAGAATTGGAAAGGATGGCATTTTATTTCAAAAAAGGAATGGGAGAGTCAAAAAGCAAAGAGCTCTTTATAAGGCCTCTGCATAGCAGGCTGAGCCTAGGGGTGTCTTCTTACTCTCAGCAGCTCATCAGTAGCACTCTCTGAGGCTCAGGAGCAGGCTGAGGAACACTGAGAACGTGCCAGAGAAGCACAGATTGCAGAATGTTTAGGACAGTGAGCGATCCTCCTGCCTTAGCCTCCTGAGTAGCTGAGACCATAGGTGCCTGCCACAACAGCCAGTTAATTTTTTTTTTTTTTTGTATTTTTAAGTAAAGATAGGGGTCTTGCGCTTACTCAAGTTGGTCTTGAACTCCTGAGCTCAAGGGATCCTCTGGCCTCCCAAAGTGCTGGGATTACAGGCAAGAGCTACCGCACCCTGCCTGAAGGTAACTTTTAAGAGGCATAAGTATGCAGCTTTCCAGACCTTCCCATCTGAGAGTCGGTTGTGAAGAATAAGTGCCCATTTTGCAAATTTGAAAAAGGAATTAATAATGAAAGATTTCAGTTTAAAGTGGAGCCCAGAAGACTGTGCTGGGGAAAGGTAGAGGCGAATGATAATCAGGTAAATCCCCTCCATTTGGCCGGGAAAGAGGGTGAGAAGTACTCTATGGTTAGAGGCAATCTTTTCTAGTTCACAAACCATGCATACTGATTATAGATTCGGAAAGTCACCCTGGCTATCAGGCAATGGTTTCCCAACTGTGTTTCCTGAAATACTAGTTTCGTAAGACGTTAGCAATTATTACATGAGAAGGATTTCAGGGAAAGTAAAGAGTGAACTGACATTAACAGGAAACTATTGTGTATCTGTTCAAAACACATTTTTGTTTTGCTAGGTTATGCTTGAAAAAAAGTTACAGTATTAGAAGAAACAGGTTCATTTTGAAAAATCATTCTTAGGAAATAGATTTTTCAGAGCCAAGAGCAAAATATGACCACAAGCTTAGGAAGGAAAGGTAGTCTAGCAGTGGTTCTCAAACTTGAATAATGTACATCAGATTTGCCCAGAAGGCTTGTGAAAATACTGGTTGCTAGACCCCACCCCATCCCACCCCTCCCACCCCTGAGATTCTGATTAAGTTAAGTTGGGATAGGACCCAGGAATTTACATGTCTAAAAAGCAATGCTGGTGCCACACGCTTTAAGACTCACTACCCTGCACCCAGCCCAGTATTCAACAGATAGGAAGCTCTTTATCCACTATCATGAAGTTTCTGAAAGTTACCACATTCTGGGGAATCAAATCTGCTGGGTTTCCACCTTGTGTGAAGATATGTTGGCTAACCCGGCTTTGAAGTCAGATTTATAGAAGGGCTTAATTTGGAAAAAGTTTGAGACAGTCTTCCCCCCAAACAGCTTCAGGTATCATTAGCAAGGGAGAAACTTCTTTCGTAGGCAACCAGAAATGGCATGTTCCAGGATTTATTTTTTAAATGCACAAAGTTGTAGGGGCAGCTAAAAGTCAATAAATATTTCCTGACCAGGAGAGATGTTTCTTCAAAAATGAGAACAAAATTCAAAATGAATTTAGCAGGGAAACATAGTTCTTCAAAACTAAAATAAAATTCAATCTGAATAATTATGATGCAATATATATTTGGGGATTTAAAAAAATACAAATACAGGTCTGGAAGGAGTGTCCATGCAAATGTATATTAGAAAAATCAAAAAGAACCTAAATGACCAGAATGTGGATGTCTGAGTCAGCCAAATTATGATGGTATTGGATAACAGGCAACAAACTCGTCTTGAGATCTGTTATGTAAGGACTGGGCACAAATTCTATCAACCTCAGGTCAATCTCAAAACATAGTACCATTTTTGTTGGCATATTCTAAAAAATTACTTAAAGAAGTTAAGAAAGGTTTGTGGGATACTAACAAATAGCTCTAGAAACATATGAAATAGTCCTAAGCACAGAACTATTCCCAAAGGAATTTGGGTTGTTAAGCCTGCAAAAAGTGAAGGTAATTTTATCTTACCTTTGAGTGAATGAGAGCTTTCTGCCTGCAGTAAGCTAAGCAAGAAAAAATGGATTTAAAATTTTTAAATTTTTAAAATTTAAAAATAGATTGATTTTCATTAGTTAACTATGAGGTAAAATCTTCTTTGAAAGAGAACGATGAAACACTGAGGGGGGATGTCATTTTGGGCTTTGGAAATTTGCAAGACACTAGTAGCAGTAATCCATTTAAGTGCCCTAAAATTTCGATAAATCTCTTCCATGATTCCCAGAAGCCAATTGAAAGAGAGAATTGTCATGCTACTGAAAAAGCCCAAATGCCCATTCATGGAAAAGTGAATAAATAAATTGTGATATATTCACAGAGTAAAATATTATATAGCAGTCAAAATCATGGATTCTAGTAAAACAACTGTATAGGTGAATTTTATTACTATACTACTGAGTGGGAATAGTCTTGGAAGATTACATACAGTATGATAACCTTTGATAAAGTTTAAAACAACTAAAATTTCTAAAATACTTTTTAGGAACACAGGTAGATACCATATAACCATATAAATGGAAGGCAAGAGGTGGAGTACAGTGGCTCATACGTATAAATCTAGTACTTTGGGAGGCCCAGAGTTCAAGACCAGATTGAGCAATATAACAAGACCCTGACTCTAAAAATAGTAGAAAAATTAGCTGGGCCTGGTGGCATTCACCTCTAGTCCTAGCTTTTCAGGAGGCTAGGCAGACAGATTGCTCAAACCCAGGAGTCTAAGGCTACAGTGAGCAATGATAATACCATTAAACGCCAGCATGGGTAACCCACTGTCTCAAAACAAACAACAAAAAAAGTGATGACTATAATGAAAAAGAATGTTCACAGCAACATTATTCATTAAAATCCCAAACTGTTTATTAAAAGGAGAATGGATAGATAATGTGGGATAGAATCATATGAGAATATTGTATAATAGTGAAAAAAACAAACTCCAGTTACATACAATATAGATGGATCTTGCAAACACCATGTTGGATAAAAGAAGCCAAATATCGCATGACTCCATTTCTATAACGTTCAAAAATAGGAAAAGCTGATCTATGACACTAGAAGTCATGCTCCTGATTATCTCTGGAGAGGGTGATGACTGGGGGAGCAGGCATGGGACCTCCGGGGTTCTAGTTCCAGTTCTTGATTTGGACCCTGGTTACATGGATGTGTTTACATTTTGGAAGTTCATGTATGATTTGTCCACATATCTGATGTCTGTTATACTTCAACTTAAAAATGTGAGAGGAAGGGAAAAATAAGGGAGATGGAGGAAAAAAGGTAAAAACAAGCAAACAAAGGATGGAAGATATAAAGAAATAAGAAGTATTCATAAGCATATTTTTCAAAATGCATTTCAAAGAACAGACAGTATGAATATATAGTACAATCTTTTTTCACACTAGTTTTCATGTTTAACATTTATGTTCATATATAACATTCTTTTAATAACTTTTTTTACTTTCTCATTTAAAAAGTAATAAGATTGTCCCTTCTTCACAGGTTCTAGGATCCCACTGGATACCAAAATTCTAAGGTGTTCTAGTCTTTTCTGTAAAATGTGTAGTATTTGTGTATAACTTACCCCTTCCTCTGTATCCTCTGACTCATCTCTAGATTGCTTACAGTGCCTACTGCAGTGTAAATGCTGTGTAAATAGTCCTTATACTATATTGTTTAGATGCTAATGACAAGGGGGAAAGTCTGTACACGTGCAGTATATATGCAACTATTTTTTTAAAAATATTTTTGGTGTTCGTTTGGTTGAATCCACAGATGTGGAACCCAGGGATATGAAGGGCCAAGTGTATGTGGTTTTTTTTTTTTTTTTTAATTTCAAAAATAAAAAACAAACCAAGGAAGAATTCCATCAACAAGATCAATTTTCCATTTGGTGTTATCCTCACAATCTGTCTTATTATTTACAAAGTTGTTTAAAAGGGTAGGGCGAGAAGGGAAGCAAGGAACCATGAACATGTGGTTCAGGATGACTTAATCTCTGCAGGGAAGAAGCAGGAGAATGGGGTGCAAGATGGGAACCTCCAGGTGGGTTACTACCGATGTTCTTTGTTTTAATGGTAGATTCATTAGTAAAAATAACTGAATAAAGAATTTAAAATGGGCCAGGCCTGCCTGGACCTGGGATGAGAATGTATCACCAACAAAGGATTATAATTAATCCAACTCTGTGCACCTGTGGCCCAATTAAAACTAAAAGAACTCCAACAATAAATGGATCTTATGGCTGGCCAGAGTGCTTCCGGAGCCAGTGTTAAGGCCCAAGCTGTGGGAGCCAAGTGAAGGCAGCGCTGAGACCACTGCCGTGGGCATTACATTTTTTAAAGTTTTAAAACCTTTTTGTGCATTTCTACCAGAAATTCACAAACCTGAAAGGAAAATCCAGTTTAGAGAGGAGGTGTTATGGACTGCTATAACTCTTCATTTTCCTAGTATGTTGTCAGATACCACTATTTGGAATCATGTCATCAAATTCTGCAGATCCTTTCTACCGGATGAGAGTTATTCTTACATCCCATACTGGAACTTGAATGGAATTGGGTATCTTCCCAATTGTAACATCTGGTTTGATTATGCAGTTGTTAGCTGGAGCCAAAATCATTGAAGTTGTAGATATACCCAAAGATAGAGCTTTATTCAGTGGAGCCCAGAAACTATTTGGTCTGATCATTACCAGTGGGCAAGCCATTCTGCATGTCTTACCTGGGATGTATGGGACCCACGGAAATGGATGCTGGGATCTGTCTCCTTAGCATTATTGGGTTGTTTGTTGCTGGTTTGATTGTGCTGCTGTTAAATTAGCTGCTACAGAAGGTTTACAGCTTGGGGTCTGGTATTTCCCTCTTTATTGCCACCAACATCTGTGAGACCATTGTCTGGAAGGCCTTTAGTCCCACTACCATTAACACTGGCAGAGGTAGGGCTGAGCACAGTTAGTCCTAGCACTTGGGAGGCAGAGGTGGGTGGATTGCCTGAGCTCACAAGTTCAAGACCATACTGAGCAAGAGGGAGACTCCATGGCAAAAAATAGCTGGGCGTTGTGGTGGGTGCCTGTAGTCTCAGCTACCTGGGAAGCTGAGACAGGAGAATCACTTAAGCCCAAGAGTTTGAGGTTGCTGTAAGCTGTGATGCCACAACACTCTACCCAGGGCGACATGGTGAAACTCTGTCTCAAATAAAACCACTGGCTTCTGAAGGTGCAGTCATAGCTCGGTTTCATTTGTTGGCCACCAGGACAGACAAAGTCTGAGCTTTACAGGAAGCTTTTTACCAGCAGAACTTACCCAATCTCATGAACCACATAGCTACAGTTTTTGCATTTGCTGTTGTTATATATTTTCAGGGATTTCGTGTTGACTTGCCCATTAAGTCAGCCTGCTATCGAAGACGGTATAGCAGCTGTCCCGTCAAGCTGTTCTGCACCTCGAATAGTCCCATTATTCTCCAGTCTGCCTTAATTTCAAACCTGTAGGTTATTTCCCAGATGCTGTCTGTTTGATTTAGTGGCAACTTTTTAATCAAGTTACTAGGACAGTGGGCTGACGTCAGTGGGGGAAGACCTGCTCATTCTTACTCAGTTGGAGGCCTCTGCTACTACCTTTCTCCTCCTAAGTCTGGTGGGGGCCATGTTTGAGGATCCCGTCCATGTAGTTGTTTACATCATCTTTATGTTGGGACCCTGTGCATTCTTTTCTAAGACATGGATAGAGGTGTATGGTTTCTCAGCCAAAGATGTAGCTAAGCAGCTTAAGGAACAGCAGACAGTAATGAGGGGTCACAGAGACACCTCTGTGGTTCATGAGCTTAGCAGGTACATCCCACAGCAGTTGCATTTGGTGTCCTGTGGATTGGTGCCCTGTCGGTGTTGGTGGACTTCCTGGGGGCCACTGGATCTGGCACCACAATTCTGCTTTCCATCACTATGATTGATTAGTATTTTGCAATATTTGTTAAGGAACAGGCTGAAGTTAGTGGATGGGTGCTTTGTTTTTCTAAACGTTCAAATATTTCTTTGTGTGTGTGCGTGTGAAAGGGAAGAATTTTGACATGTTTTTTCAAATAATGCCGGTGATTCCCCTTTCCCCCCTCACAGTTTGTCCAGTGCTGACTGTCCCACTTCTTAAATGGGCACCGAGCTAAGCCTGTGTGCAGCATTAGTACCAGCTGCCTTAAAACTAAAGTTTACTTTATTCCTTAAAAAATGTACAGCTAATGTGCATTAGGTAGAAACCAATGTATCTACCTTGCTGTGTTCAGTGACAGTGAGATGGTGACATGGATTAGTTTTGCACACAACATTCAAAACACTTACTATTCCCCCCTACTCAGTTAAAAATAAATGTAGTTCAGCTCCTTGAGAGGCTGAGGCAAGAGAATCACTTAAGCCCAAGAGTTTGAGGTTGCTGTGATACCAGGGCACTCTACCAAGGGTGAAATAGAGAAACTCTGTCTCAAAAATAAATAAATAAATAAATAAAAATGTAGTTCAACTTCCCACTTCCCAGTATTTTTGAGCTTATTTAATGAGTTCTACAACACTTATGCCTAATCTATATTTTAGATAATTACTTTTTTAACTCATAGTATCTCCCACAGCCCCTCTTTTCATTTGTCCCTTTTCAAAACAGCCATTTAGCCCAGGTGGGCAAAATTATGCATCCAGCTATTTCTGTCACTAGAAACAACCGCTTCTAATTACTCCGCCTGTTTTTCCTCCCTCCTTTCTTCCCAGTAACAGCATAACCGGTGCTGTTTGACTGTTTTGGCTGTGCCTTCTAACTCCAAGCAGGCACTTGAGAATGCTCCTTCAAGGTATTATGCCCCTATTCTTTTTTTTTTTTTTTTTAGTCGAATCTTTAAAGCGAAGATCCAATTCCCGAGCAGTGTCTGTAGTTCGGTGGAGGTGACCAATGAGCTATTCATGCTAGGAATCTGTGTATGCTGTTGTCCTTATAGCAGCAGCAGCGTGAGTGTAAACCGTAGACAATCAACCTTTATTTGATAAAACTGTTTCAGCTGTGTTGGAAAAATAAATGCGATATAAAAAAATGGATCTTATGCTATAATTGAAAGTTTAGTCCTCTGAAGATCTAAACTGCCATTTTTAAGACACTCTATGCACTGAAAAGTGGGAGGGGAATGACTCCACCTTTAACTAAAAAGAAAATGCTTTCCTTTGCTCACTAAGCTTCATATAGCTTTTTGAATGAGCTGTGAATTATACCTTCTATTCATGATTCAAATATTCATATGTAAGGTTTCGATATAAACCAGATAAACTTCCCAGATCACCTTATACCCCTAAAATTCTATATTTTAGATTAATGTCCTGATGATGTGCCAAGACGGTCTCTAACGAAACTAGAATGATTTTTCTGGACTCCTTCCTGCTAATTACAGAGTTTCACCTGAAGACGTCTCTTATTGCCCACAGTAAAACTTCAGATTTGTGTATTTGTTTTTGTGCTTGTATCCCCACCGCTGCTTATAAAAATGAAACATTTAATGTGGTGAGGAAACTGGGGTAAAATAAGAGTAGGAATTAAAAATAATACATGAGTAATATTAGAATACTAATGTATTTTTAGTTTCTATCTTAGCTAGAGCCGGGCCACAAATTTGGCTTGCAGCTTCCTAACAGTCAAAGCAAAGAGGGACTAGAGGGCTAGCAAACTAGCCAATAATTTGGGCTAGTTTTTCCAAAGAAAACTAGTATTTCCAGAGATGGAATTCCAGTGATGGAATTTCCAGTGATGACTAAAGCCCTTGAGAGCTGATAGTTAAATAGCCAGGACTTTTTGCAAATTATTTAACCATTGATAGCTTGAAATTGACCTTGGTGGAAATATTTACCAAACACAAGTCAGGATTTTTTTTTTTTTTTTTGCCTTCAGAGAGCTAGCTGGTTTACCAGCACACCACTGCATATGGTCCTGTGCAAGGACACCGTGCAAAGTGTGGGAGGGACTGCAAGTGAGTGGGGAAAGCCTTAGACCTGCTTGTTACGTACAAGAGCAGAAGAAAGCAGGAATATATGCCTAAAACCAGAGAATAACTTGGAAGTTTGTGCCAGCAGTCACCCACCCCATGTCAGTCCTTTCCAATACTACCCTTTGGAATTTCATACCCAGAATTATAAAAAATGCTATGCTCATTGAGGGACCGAAATATCTTCCATTCAAAAATGCACCCAGAGAGACAAGGGAATCTCAGGTTAAGGATTTTATGCTTTCCATTAGGTCAGCACTTCCAAGTTCATATTTCGCAGCATAGTAACAAGTGTCCTGCTGGGGAGTAGAAAAGTGTTCCATGCTGAAATAAGCAGTTATCTTTACCACAGGACTTCTTAAAGCAGGGGTCCTCAAACTTTTTAAACAGGGGACCAGTTCACTGTCCCTCACACCGCTGGAGGGCCGGACTTCGGGCCCTGGGACGAGTCGGCTGCTAAGTAGGACAGGCAGCTGTGGCAAAAATACCCGGCGGGCGGGATAAATGTCCTAGGCGGGCTACATGGGGCCCACGGGCCGGGCCATAGTTTGAGGACGCCTGTCTTAGAGCCTTAAGAAGGCAAGAGAATGCACATTAGATCCTAAACTTATTTTATCCCAGAACAATTTGTTGTGGCACTTCTTGAGACACCAGACCGAAAAATGCTACCCTGGGTAGCCAGGATTCCTTGAGATTAAGAAAGGCAATACCAGGATGTTCTTCCTCAAAAATACTCCTTTAATGTAGGACTTGAGGCTCTGGCATTTTTCAAAATAAAAACATAACCTGCCTATCTTTACTTTTCAAATGAACCATTCTATCAACCCTGTGGGTGTCCATGCATCCATCAACAAAGCTTACTTAGGGATTGAGGGGAAACATTTCAGGACAAGAAATCTCTTAACTGTGTCCCCAGCAACTCAGTCCTGTTGGGGGAACACCAGGCATTGACAGTGTCAATGCCCAAAGCCAGCCTGGGTCCATTTTCACCTCACAAGATTTTGATGCAGAGACTGATTATTTCTCATCACTTTTTAACCTTAAATACTCCCCACCCCACTCCCACCCCCAGCTCCCACCTATCTCTTGTTTTCTTTCTGTCTTCTTGAGCTAGCATCATTAACTCCTGACATGCCTTGGCTGCCCCACCCGTCTGCCTCCACTCCACAGTGACTGTGGAGCCCTCCGTTCCGGACCCTGGATGAGCCAGACAAGGCCCTGTCGTGGAGAAGATCAGAATGCAGCATTAATGACTGTTGGCTTCCTCTCCTACTTAGCACCTTTCCTGGGCTTGTCTAGGCTCTTTTGTCCCACTGTGCTCGGGGGCCCTGTGCGGCTCCTCCCACCTTTGCCCATCCTCTTCCCTCTCTTCCCTCTCTTCCCTGATAGCTTTTTCCAATGACTAACAGGAACCCAGCTCAGCTAGTTTTTATCACGCTCCTGTCCTTGCATTTTTCCAACTCAATTAAGCCATTACCAGGGCTAAATGAGGCATGGCCTCTCCAAAAGTCACACCTGTTGTCAGGGAGCTGGAAGGTGAGCCTGTGTGCAGCTGGCAGACGGCAAGCCAGGCTCGCGGGAGGCAGCTGAGTGTGACCGGGCAGTTTGCGTTCCCCCCAGTGCTGAAAGAGGGCCCTCATTTTAAAACAAGATGTGCCTTGATTTGGCACAGAAAGAATGATGTCTGACATAGAGCTGGGGCTGTCACATTGGAGATAAATAGCAGATAGGATGTCTCTTGTTCTTCGGCAAATGTGCACCAGGTGTGTATAGAAACCCACACTGTGGATGTGTCCTCAGCGAGAGGTAAGGACAACTGTAACCTGAGCCAAGTACATGAGTTTTGTGATTATTGGCTGAACTTTCTCAGGTTTTTCCTTGCTCACCCTCATTAAAACACACACATTTTGCCTTTCCACAGTAGTGGCTTCAAGCCCTACTGTGAATATTCTTTATGATCAGTGTGAGAAATGAAGCAAAGATTACAGTACAACAAACCGGAGACACATCAGTGTACTTACCCTATGAAAACAAATGATCTCTACTGGAAATCAAATTTGGTTTCATAAGCATCTTTTTTCTAGGCAACCTAGACTTTTCACTTTGGCAATCTAGCAATTGAAAAATTATAGTTTTTGAGAGTGCCATGACTTTAATTTACTGAGCAGTTTTATGTTCAGAAGGTCTGTGTCTGTATCTTGGTTTTCTCTATTTGAAATGTAGGCAAAAATCATTCTGCTCTGTACAATTTCCTGAAATATCAGAGCCAAGAGGTGAGAGTGAGGATGGTTTATACTTTGATGAACATTGAAATGTTGCAGTGTTGAGTCCTAATCTTGCCTTGCTATTCTCTGTTAACCTCTCCTACCCTATGGACTTGGATGAGCCATGTACCTACTTTGAAGACAAATGCAAGTTGAACAAGTATTTTTCAGAGCATCCAATAGATACCAGATTCCTTATTGAATGCTAGTGATGCACCTGTGATCACAGTGAAGCCCTTGCTCATAAGAGCCTTCAGTCTCACGGGCCGACCACGTTCTGTCCTGGAATTGCCCACCCAGCCTCTGGTCTCTACTGGTCACACTTCATTCATTTATTCAACAAATATCCGTGGAGCATCTACTAAGTTCCGGGCTGTGCTTGATGCTGGGCTGCAATGGTGAGAGAAGGAGACCCTGCCCTCATAAAGCTTCTGGTCCCCATGTTGACTTAATTCTCTCTCCAGGCAATCCGCCAAAGGATTTCACTCTCTGTGCTCTTTCAACTTAAAGTGCATGCCTCTTAGAGCATTTGCATCATTGTAATTATAATACATTTTTATGTCTCCTTTTAAACCATGGGCATTTTGAAGGCAAGAAGTTCAAGTTTCTTTCCCTGGTGTCTTTCACTCCCTACTTTCTTGCACATACAGAGCTCAATCGGTGCTTTTGAATGAATAAATAAATGCATGAATTTATAAGTTCATGAACTCATGGAAGCCCTAGATCAATCTGTCCTCATCTCCTGTCATGCCACAGCTCTTGGCTGAGGAACTTAATGAGCAGTCATCCGCCAGAACTGAAACACTCCTCATGATGTCAAGGACCTTCTAAACACAAACCACCTGGTCCATGGGCC